TTTTAATTTAATTTAGTAGTAAACGGATACAAAGAGGGAGGGTTTTAGTGTGGGGCAGCCAGTTTAGGGTCGTTGCGTTGGCTGTATGCTGCATAATATATCGGTGAAGACAAACCACTGAGAGGCACAGCAAGAGGGGGCTGAGGGGGTGGTTTCCACCTCGCCCTTGCTGCTGCATGCAGAGCACGCGTTCTTCAGTGTACAGACAACATAAACAAGAGGAGCGGGGGTCGCAGCGCGTCCTCTGTGCTCTCTGTTTCTTCTACACCTCTCAGCTTCCGTGTCGGTGTGCAGTGTTTAGAGTGAACTGTAACTGTGGCAGTACGCAGCACTCCGCCTACTGATCTGGCGAGCTGTGCTGAGGTGTATGTACATCACTGCACTGTATGCACTTTCCCTTTGTACGCGGTTGAGGGGGAGAGACAATCCGACAAAATAAAAACGAAGAAGACAAATTCATATTCAAAAACACCAACGAGCACTCACTGCCTTGCCAGAAACCTGCACTCTCATCAGGCTCAAGCTGGCTAGCTAGCTACATAGCTAGCTATACAGCTAGCTAGCCAGAGGCAGTAGGTTAGGCAACTAGCTATCCAACCGCGCCAGCAGCAGTTGGGCGTTGCCTACCGCAGCAGCAGCAACTGCTGCTGGAGCTGCAACATCAGCAGTCCCTGCAGGCGTAGGCGCAGCAGCGGGGGCAGCAGCAGCAGCTGCTGCTGCCCCTGCTGCCTCAGCAGCAGCAGCAGCTGCTGCCGCTGCAGCACCTAGGAAAGTCGAAGATAACTACATATTGTTGATTTGTTGCGGGTGAGAAAAAAGCGGCTGAGACGGCATCTCTGTTCAATCTGCCGCGCCAAACATATCAAAGTCATCCTGAAGAAAACACAGAAAAAAAAATAAAAATAAAAAGTTAAAGTATTGCAGTGTATGTACACTGCAGCTCGCATGAAACCCACGTCCTCCTGCCCTCCTGGATAGTAGTATTTATTTCATTGTTCTCTATTTGCATATTCATTGTTAAAAAATTCTAGTAACGCATATATTAAGGTTTCACGCAGCACGCGGTGTATGGACAGGTGTGTGTATGAGGTACCTGCTCTTCTGCAGCAGCAGCAGCAGCTGCTGCTGCTGCTGCTGCTGCTTCAGCTTCCATCTGCTGCTCCCTCTTGCGCTTGCGGATGAGGGCCTCCACGTCTATGTTGCTTGTTATGCCTGCTATTTCTTCTATGCCGCTCATTCGAATGTTCTTGCCTTCGGGCTTCTCAGACTTTGCTGCGTCTTCTGCTGCTGCTGCTTCTCCTGTTGCTGCTGCTGCTGCTGCTGTTGCTGCTGATGGTGCTTCTCGACGCAAGTCAGCACTGTCTATGGAACCTGACTTCGATGAGCCCGCCGCGTGAGCGGCTTCTCTATCCTCCCTGCTGCTGCTGCCGCTGCTGCTGCTGCCGCTGCTGCTGCTGCCGCTGCTGCTGCTGCCGCTGCTGCTGCTGTCAGCATTCTGCTGTCTGTTTGTATTGGAGGTACTATCAGCCGCCTGTGCTGCTTGCTGTTCCTCTGCATGCGCGGTGCGTTGTTGTC